GGATTAAAACCATGGTATAAGCGTACATATGTGCCAAATGTTGATCAAAACTGTCTTTTCCATTTGAAATTTAATTAGAAATCAATTCAGCTGCCCTGTGTTTTGTCAGCAACTTAATTCATGTAATTAAGGGAAAATGACAGTGACGGTTCCACTGTTCATAATTATAGAAATGTTTGCACATAATCCTACAATATGTAAAAGTTACTAAATGTGTTAAAATATATTTTGGACACAATATGTCAGTACCTTTAATGTCCATTTTTCGTGGCCAATCTTGGAACAACTTCACCGGATGACCTCCCTTTATGACCTCTGTGGTTGACCCCCTATATCAGGAAAAGGATGTTAGGCCAGATGGAAAACGCTCTCCAAAGCTTCCCTTTGCTGCATCCTCTTGTTTTTATATTCATTATTTATATTGTGCAGTTATCTAACTCATCTATGCATTTTGGATTCATAGTGCTTGTGCTTACATGTCACAAGTAGATCAGCTGCCAAAAATGTATCCATGACTTTCATGCTACATGTACCAGGATGGTCACAGGAAATGTGGTCATGGTTTTGGTTTTTGTCTTAGTATTTGTTTATCATAGTATTTATTTTTGCTTTCCGTTTTGTCCTTTGTGTGGTTTGTAGATTTTCAATGCTGGAACAGGACATAAGATTTACCAGATTCAGATAGGACTGAAATTGTTGACCAACATTTTCTTTCTGAGATGAACACTGGAGGTGAACTTGGGATGGGGAGGCCCTGGGGCCTCCAATCTGCAGGGATGGGATCCAAAAAAAGACTAATTTGAACCGAAAAGGCTGATGTTCTAAGTTTGCATTTCAGCTCCAAAAAGATCAATCCTCAGTTGGACTTTGAATTTACCAAAAAGCTTGACATAGTACTAGAAGAGAGACAGGAGACATTATTGTTTACTGTCATCTTTTTTCCCCTCCAGTTTATTGGTGATAGGTATAATGCAACTGCCATTTTTAGGAATGTACAGGGCGAGTCAAAAAACCCAAAACCCAAAGCCCAAATGTTGGGACTATTGTTTTAGTGAAGTTCTACATGTAGCACTTTCAAAATCTAGGATATGAAAGCCCAATTCATAGACTTACTTTTAGTACAAGAATCATGCAAATCACTCATGTACTTTTCAAGTTACGGTATTTTAAACACAACCACCGTTTTAAATTTCTGTCCACGGTTCACAAAAACAGGTGTGCGTTCTTTCAGCAAAACAAAAACAATTCACACACATCCCTATGTGATTTGTTTTCGTTTTGCTGAAAGAACACTAACCTTTTTGTGATCCGTGGACAGAACTTTAAAACGGTGGTTGCTTTTAAAATTCCGTAACTTGAAAATTAAATGAGCGATTCAAATGATTCTTGTATCAAAAGAAAGCTTATGAGTTGGGTTTTCATATCCTAGATTTTGAAAGTGCTACATGCAGAACTTCACAAAAACAATGGTCCTGACATTTGGGTTTCGTTTTTTTTTTACTCACCCTGTACATGTACCCCAGAAGTTGAGGAATAGTACTAAGATGTAAAGCATCCAAACAAAAAGTGATTCTGTATGTAACTTGTACAAGGTGCATGTTTCTATAAGTACCATGACACTTGTACCCATTACAATTTCGGTATCAGAGGAAAAAGGGAAGAGCCTAGAAATTAGGTTCATGTGTTCTAGAGACGTCTGAATTATTAGGATCCTTATGGAACTGAAAATACACAAGATTAATTCAGTTATAATCATTGTCTGTTTATTTGTTTGTTAGGGTGGGTTTTTTTTGGCTCCTTTGTGTAGGCATCATGCCTTGAACTCATTTTAATTCCCCTTTACTCACCGTTAACTGCCATGAAAATGAGTTTCAAGAAGTCCGGGTACAGAATTGAAAACTGTCTCTGTTGACTGTTGAAGTTCATTGACTCACATGTGTAGTTTGACTTTCTGAACTGTGATTGACACTTTATGGGGACACAGCCAAGGTGAGGTGTTGCAATTGGTTAGATGTCATAACCCCAAACAGAGCAAACTTGGGGTGTGGATACCTAACTCCCTTGGCCTGTGTTTCCAAGTATTCAAAGTTCATCAGAGAGGAAACATATGAATCACTTTTCATTGTTGCACATTTCCTATTCTTGTGGTCAAATTGATTGGCTATTGTCCATGAACAAGGACAGGTCAGTTGATAACTGGACCTTCAAGTCGTCAGTATCTATTCTCAACTCAACATTCTGTGCAACTGTGATTGATCAACCAATTCTTTTTTTTTTTTTTTATTTATTCAAACATTATCTTGTTCATAAAACTATAAAAACTGTAACTTTGAAACCAAACAAGTGTCCTTGTTTGGCTTGCTGTCAAATTAAGCTGACTTTTCTGTTTCATTCCAGGGCCCTATTTCATAGCACTGCTTAACAGGTAGCAGAAAAGTTGTGCTTACTATAGCAGAAAATCATGCTGCTGCTTAAGCACTATTTCATGCTAACGGTTGCGCGTGCATGGAGATTTCTATTGTTCCGTCACTGATTTAAGCAAAGTTTTCTTCTGGGGTTAAGCGAGCTATTCCTGTGCTTACTGCTTAACAGTCCCTATGAAATAGATTGAGGCTAGGTAACCACAGAATCGGCTGTTAAGCAGCGCTGTGAAATTGGGCCCAGCTGGTCAGAGCTTAAAAATATTATTGCAACTTTCTCTGAGCAGGTCACAAATAAATGAGACTTAATTGCAAAGTTTAAATCCCTGATAAAGTAACGATTTGTAATGTGTGCCCAAGCCTGTGTCTGAAGTAGTTTGAATCTATCGGATGAGTAAATCCAAGTGAAAACCCTAAAGCTACAAACACAAGTTTGCATTACACCAAAACAAATACACCACAAAGTGAAACTGACAAGGTCCTGGGTCCATATACATACGTACAGGATTTAAATCTGCCCCATTTGGAGTACCATACATATCATTTACCAAATTAGCTATCCAGCCCTACATTGGCAGTTATCCCAATGTACAGTACTTACCTGTCATTATACACATCCCTGCTTTTTGAGACATCTATTGATCTCATATTGTACATATACCTTAAAAATGTTTTTTTCTGAGACTAAAATTTTTGCAAGGGAGTAATGTACATTAGCAAACTACTAACATTGAGAACTCCCCCCTTCTAAAAAAAAAACCAACCCACAAGTCCCCCATCCCATCCAATCATTGTTACCTACAGTTTCAATGGAACTTTTTTTGGGAAAGCAGGAAGAAGAAAATTGAATCAAATTTGGCAAAGTATCAGTTTTCTCCTTCAAACACGTCAACAGGATACAAAATCATCCAACCCAACCTCTCGCCCACCTCCCCCCCCCCTCCCCCTTGCCTTTCATGTGTCCATCGAAAAAGCTAAAGGCTTATAAATAAGGTTTGATTGTTTGGCATAGTTTGGTTGGCTTGTTCATGGTTTTTGTTGGTGGAGGGGTTGACATTTATAGTTAATTTTCTCCAAATCTATAATGTTACCAGATGGAGGCCAATCAATAAAAAAGTGACAGATTTGTGCAAGTGTATACAATGAGACTTTTGACTTAAATATCAAACATAACAAACGCATAACAGATTGTCTACTCTTTGGGTCATGAATATTGGTCCTTAGAACTCTGAGCAACATAGAGAGAGAAAAGAAAATCCATCATCCATCATCCATTTAACAATTATTGACTGCTGTGATGTGGGATATGACATTTTTAACACCAAAGGGGCGATTCGCCTTAAGTGCTATGTGCCCAGAGGGGGTTCAAAATGGCATATCCCACATCACAGCAGTAAACAATTGTTTTGTTATATCGTGCCCATAACTCGAACAGATAATTGGGTGTTACTTACTGTGTGAGAAATAAATTAAATCACTGCAATGTAACCTTTACCTTGGATAACTGAAGGTTTTAGTGTCCTGCCGGACATGAGACTGAGCGTTGTCATTGCAGTTCTCATTGCGCAAAGCTAGCATGCCGGCCGGCAGGTTCCACACGCGCGCAACGCATGCAATGAATGCAGCTGGGATATCACCCTCAGTATGTGACATGCATTTTTATTGTCCAGACACATGGCCATTCTAGACCAATGAATTACAGTATCCAAGCACACCATATAACAAAATAGATTTTGGTCGGTTATTAATTACCCCTGAAAAAGTTCCGTTTGCTAACCAGTTTGGCCGAACGTAGTTGGAAGGATTTAACACCGACGCTTGACCAGGCCAAATGAGGAAATTTGACTTCAATCTAGTGTCACAATTAGAAGAGAAACAGCTGCCTGTTTTGAATGTAAAATGAGGACAGGGGAAACAAAATAAGGGGGGGGGAATTGATCAAACAATCAGCATCTTGGTTTACTCAGACCTGGACAATTTCAGGCTTTATATCCCTAAAGTATTAGAGTCCTCCGACTTGACCTAGAAACTGAATGGAATAATTAAGTGTACAACAGTGTACAATTACATGTACAGACACGTTTGTTTATGGTGTTAATCAAGGATTTTCTATTGTTCCTCTTCCCCTTTCCTTTGTTTATCCTTTTTCGCAACAGCTCTCATTGGTTTTGTACACATTTTCCAGCCGAGGAGTCCTCGATTTGGTTCCTGTCCTCGATTCATCGATGATGTTGCACGTGTGTGTCCTTGATATTCACCATAAACAAACGCATGGTCTTTTGTGTACAGTTTGTTGTTTAGATGGTCAGTAAGCTTTGTCTGACAAAATTGTAAAAACTGGGTTGTGTGAACATCAAAAACATTACAAACATTGCACAGTATTCTCAAGTTGACACAAGTGAGACACAAGTCAGTCTCATGAAATTCAGGTCACAAATAAAATTATTACAAGGAGTGTGTGGTTCACGACTTGACTTAACACCAGATGATTTGTGATTGACTTGTGATGACTTGGGTACCAATCTGTTTTAATGTTTTTCTTCACATGGGACTGAATGCCTATTCTCTCTTTGTTATCAGCTGTCACTGGATCTGCCCTCCTGGGTCAAGCATCTTCCTCTAGACCATCTCTCCATGTGGATGCAGGAGGAGGAAGCTCGGGAAGAAGTGCGACTAATTAACCTCTACCAAATACTCTGAGAAGGAGGCCGGTACACCAAAGGATGTCTTCCCACCAGTAAACAACCTTGAGCCCAGTTTTTACCTTTGCCTCTGACCCCGGGCAAGAAGAGCTAAATATATAGAGCGACATCATTGTATTAATAATTTGGGCTTTTCCATGTCGCCTCTGAGCCATCGCCTGCTGCTAATCATTAGAAGTTGTAATATATGGCCAGAGTTCGCAGCCAGTTGTAACCCAGTCTGTATGTATGTACATCACAATATTAAAGATACGAAGATAACATAAGCTGCAAATCATTCAGCAAATTAGATTAGCTAATTTATTGTCATTTATGGGTTGAGTGGATGAAAAAAAACCTAGACGTTCTGTTCTGGTTGAAACCACCATGCAGTTGAAACCCAGTCAACATCACAGTGAAGATGAAATGAGCCCTGTAATTTGTTTTGTCCCCCTATTTAGAGAAATAATTTACAGAACTCCATTTACCGATTCTGTGGTCATTTGTAAACTCTTTTCTTAAGCGTAGTTGGTACTGCAACAGAACCGTGGCATATAAGGGCCTATCACACTATCCAAAATCTCCATGCTGGATCTCACAGAGATTTCAGGAACCCCTTTCACACTAGCAAGAATCCAACATGGCTTCTGCACGGGTTTGGTGCTCTGCACGGGTAAAATCCAACCCTGGTCTGGCCCAGGGTTGAGAGGCTCTACCCAGATAGAAAATCCAATATCGACAGGAGTGTGAACGGTATGCCTTGCCTACCCGTGTTCGATTGGACCCCATTCTGCTAACAGTGGATCCATATTGATTTCAATCAGGAAGGGTGAGACAATAGTGTGAAAAGCTAGATGCCCAGATAAGTTTCATCTTAGTTTTGGGTTCAGACTCAAAAATGAGGGATTGAAATCGCTAGTGAGGGATATACATGTCTGATGCCAACTATTTGCTTGCATGTGATTATTATAGTGGCTGCTGCATGTTTTGCCCAAAGCACAAAGTTACCAACAACCTCAAATGTAAATGCTTGAAAATCTTGCCAGCAATGCCTTAATTTAGACCTGAATGCATGGACTTCGATTTGGCAATATGCTTCTTCATTGATGCTTGCCAAACACATGTACATGCATGGTGCTATGACTGTGCTGGAAAAAGCACATATAGTTACAAAGTAAATGAAGCTTGCCATTAAAAATATCATTTCATTCAAAAACAATGAATGATTGCAATAACACATGCTCATTTTCAAAATGATTGCCTGAATTGAAACTTGATCAGCCAAAAGAGCCAATAAAACTTGAATTGTTTCACCAAATATATATGCTTGACAACCGAATTATTATGAGCGCAAACCTTGAGGATTCTTGGCTTATTACAACCCATGTCTGTCTCATTTGGCGTTATTAGGTAAAGTGGTGTATTTGGTGTCCCACCCAAGCTTTTGTGTTCTGGTGCTTAAAGTGTTCTGTAAACCACTCATTGAAATGATTGTTGAGAATAAAGTCCAGCTCAGAAAACTCATAATGCAAGAAAATAATTGTAACCTTTGGACAAACTTTCCTGAGAAAATTTATAATTTAACTGATATCACTGAAGATTGCAGAATTTTTGTTGAATATATACATGCATTTAAGACTCAAGCAGCATCACCCCCCCCCCCAAAAAAAATCATCCTTAGACCAAATAATCTCAAGAATTGAGCTCGGTATCTGTGTGTGAATAATAGCTAAACAATCACAACCTTTTCAGCATTACCCTGTTGCTGATGACCATGTTGCTGTACATGCTTGTCTGAACTAAGTATGCATAGTTATCAAGGACACTGCGAGGTCTGGGTATGAGCTCATGTCTAGGATGACATCCTCCCCATTGCACGTTCACAATACAAGGCCAATCCAAGTAATTGTGATGTCAGTATTGGAAGAGAAGAGTTATAATAACAAGGACCGCTTCTAGTTTATGATGACAATAGGTTTCGGATTTATCCCAACCGAACAAAAGTACAGTTAACCCGATGACCTCTAGCTCCCAAAGTGAACAGACTTTCAGTAACAGCCTCGAATTCTATACAAGTTGAGCTCTGTTTTAAGCTCATAGCTGAATTTAACAAACATAAAAACGCTGTGGTTGAAATAATATGACTATGAAAAACCTGAAAACCCATTATAGATGAATAATATGACACATGTAGACAACTGTTGTAACTACCTGCCCCAGTGTTTCTAAAATAATCCAGAACATGCATGCAGTGAGTTTAAATTGAGACATGGAATTTGTACCATGGTGTTGTACCTAACAAAACAATGGTGAATGCCGATGAAGACCAGTGCACAACATGACTAAACTTGTTTGCCTCCTTGAATTCAGCTCATTCTGCCGAAACAAAAATGTGTCATTGTTTCGGATTTTCTTAGATATCATATAAGTTGTGGCTTTAAGCTGTTTGGTGGCTGAACATGAATTTTAAAAGATTAACACAATGCTTTATAACTGTAGAGCAAATGACAGTAACTGCCAGGAATGACTAAATAAAGTCCTAATGCAATTCTAAAAGTTGCAGCCCAGTGCTTGTTAACAGTGTCCAACTCGTTTTCTCCGAGGAGTTTTGATCAGTACATTAATTGCCATGGATAACAATGATAATCTCGGTTCCAAGAATCAGGAAAATTCTGCTTTCAAAGGTGTTAAAGACAGCTTAATTTACCAGATTTCGCTTTCTGCTCAACTTTAGTGGGAAAATCGCGTCATGGACTGCATAGCTTAAATGGCGACATTTGGGACCAATTTCGTCATTTTTAATACATCTCACATTTCTGTTAAGAAATGGAGAGTACCGTATCTGTGGTCCCATTTGCAGGAGGGCACGTCAGGGGCCTCCTATTCTGGAGGGTGGGGGAACACAAAGGGTTCGGTCATAGTTTCAAACAGTACGAAGCTTATTTTGTCTTCTCAAATTTCTGAGCTGTGCACAAGGGGTGCAGGAGGAGGCCATGAGCGATGGGCGTTCCTCCACCCTCCCTTAATTACGTCACTGGAAATAAGCCCCTTTACTTTCTTTTTTTACTAACCCTCGAGCACATGGGCGTCATTTCTCAGTTAAGGCCATGAGAATCGTGATTTAATTACTGTGGTCTTCAAGTTCAACCGTACGCAATGTTTTGGTGAAAATAGATAGTTGATAGGCACTTGTCTGTGGTAAAGCAGTGCACGTCATTTCTAGTTCCGCAGTAATTTAGCCATTTATCGGGGAATATGAATCCCCGACAGCCCACTGGATAACTCACAAATATGTGCAGTAAAGGGTCTTGGAATGCCAAAATTATAGGTAAGGGGCCTACAGTTATTTTCAATTTTCAGGTATTCAAAATTCATGGGTCGTGAGAGTTTAGACCCGTTGACTAAAGTATAAGCCTGATCCACCATCAACCAGTCCAACTTGCAGCCTCAACCCCACTCTCGTGGGTAAGATGTAACATATTTCCAGGCCATGGGTGTTTCAAGTCCGGGCTATCGAATATAGAATGATTATTGATCGCGTGAAGTTCTGCGGAAATTCAGTTTTTCCACGAAAAGGAGAAATGAACTAGTGTGCTCATCAGTAGCATACAAGTGACCTCCTTTTTATTTTTTATTAAAAAAATGTATACTCCTAAAAAAATACTCTCAAAATGTTAATTACATCCCAAGGCGCTCAACATCCAGAAAGGAGCACGACATTATAGCATCATTAACACCAAAGACCACGATATTTGGGCAATTATTTCTTTATCCCAGTGTTAGCGCTAGCAGCACTTTGTCTACATTTCTATCCGTTCCTCCTGTCGGCTTTTATTTCTACAACCAAAAGTGTTTAGCCATGATACAAAAAGGCTGTAGGCTAATTTTGTGCGCATAGACCTTACCTGATAATTGTTTATGATGACGAGCATGAGTGGATGATGATGATGATGGGGGGGGGGGGGGGGGGATCAGGCGATAATTAGGCAATGCATTATGTTATTCAGGGAACGCAAGGAAATTAGATATTGTTTTTGTTATGCGAATAATTAACAATGGTCAGCCAGAGGACCTACCTCAACCACCCCTTTGATCCACCCTTGCAATCCAAACGAGAAAGCGAGAATTTTGAGTACCCTAACCCCCTCCCCAGGGCCAACATTCGCGGCTGAAATTCAGCGGTGGGCAGAGCGAATACTTGGATGGATCTTCACTCGGCTACTACACCTGCGAGGTTGTCAATTCATACACACAGCCGTATTGGAATATTAACGCGTCCTCTGACGGTGACGTCTCAATATGAATGGTGGTTGTATCGCCCCATCTGGGAGAACGTGCCAAAACAGGTCATGCGTTAAACTATTTCAGACTATTTTACCATCGTATAGTCAATGAAATATTAATTTCAAAGGCTATTAAATATTCCTTTTCGCGACTTTGATGTAGGCTAGTTCTATATTTATAATTCTATTCTCCACAAAATATCAAATTAAAGCCCGTACTGGTTACACAAATTTAACGTATATAAATGTTAAGAGTATATTTATTTTTCTAAATAAGGTTGTGCTCTCGCGCCGAGAATTTGTGCATAGGCTAAATACATTGTAGGTTTGATTTTCCTTTAGCTGAAAAAAAAATCACCAAAGGTCAACGAAGACGTGTCCAGATAGCTTCGAAAATGTTAGGAAACGGTAGGAATCCCGCCCGTTTTGGTCAAGTGATGTTGGCGCCTACTTGACCTCAGATTAGTTAGTTGACTAAGAATCTTTACTGGGTCTAAAAAACCAGATTAAAAGATGTTGGATTGGTCCAGCGCATAGCACTCTTAATATTTTTCTCTGGTACAGCAGCAGCATACTTTCCGAGCCATGGGTCGGGCAGGATGCGTTGCAGTGCCCCACTCGCCTTGATAACATTTGGCCCCAACAAACAACTTCCTCGGAAGATATCAAGGGAGCCATTTCCGCAGTCTGAAAGCTAATTAATCGATAAAAGGTCAAATAATTTTGGGTGTGAATTGAATGATTTGATTTGACAATGATTTGATTTCTCTTGAGAAGAGAAAAGGGGAGTCAAAGTTCGACTCTGCCCTCACTCGATGCCTGTGCTATGACCAACCCATTTTAGTGCCCCTCCAGAAAATAGACGTTATATTTACGAGGAAGTCAACGCGTTCCCTGAATCTGTTTTATAAATTGTAAACTCTTGAATGGGATTGTGCCAGACTATTTTATGATTGGAGTGCGTTCCAAGTCTCGCTTTAATTTTTTTGTTTAATGTGACTTTTAAGTCATGTTTAATCACAAATTTCAAATTATTCATCAGATCAGACGGGTATTACTCTGTAATGAACTTTAAGTTATTGCATTCATTTCTACTATAGCAAGTCCAAGAATGAACAGTTCGCCTCGCTTTTAATTTAATATGGCCGACTCGTGAATAAAGTCTATTGGACCCAAGTTACATTGTGGAATGTTTGCCAACGGTAAGTC